TTGGTTGAACAGTCCCTTTCAAAAATGTACACTTATTCAATTTGAGTAATTTTATGTTTATATATTTTTAAAACAATTCCCCTAAAGTAAGACAAACACATATAAAGACCCCAATAAAACATTTGGATTTAAAGGAACAGTGTGTGGGATTTTGTCAATTATTTTAGCCAAAATTGAAATAATCACCATTGACAATAATAAAAAACAAGTCTAATCATTGCAGACAAAGAGTTTGTTTTTATTATTTTTACCTTATAAAAAGCTGTTTATGTCTCCATGGTAGTGGGTTGCCATACAGGCAGCCGCCATCTTGTCTACGAAGGCTCATGAAGGACAAACTGCGGTGGCGGCGTCAAAAACGGTTTTAGTTGTAATTCTATAAATGTAATATTTGTTGTCTGTCATTAGCTACGTTTCCATGGACAAAATAATTGGATTAAACGGCCGTTCGGAATAAAAATGCGTCATGTAAACAGCCCGTTCCTATTATTCTGATCCGATTGAGCTCGATCRGAATGAATTTTTAATCCGAATGAAAAGGGTGGGTTATGCCGATTGATATTCGGAATGAGGTTCATGTAAACACTTAATCGGATCATCTTATTCTGATTGTAGAAAACTGACCTGTGTGCATGTCTGCTGACTTTCATTCACCCGGTGGGACAGCATCGCTCCAGCTGCGCTGCACCGTGCAGAACTTTTCCTCCTCACTCTCAACAAATGAAAAAGGAGGCAAACAGCAGACGTTGCTTCGCAAAAAATAAAAATAAAAACACAAATTGCTTCATCTGCAGGCTGCAGCTCAACCGAGAAGTAACGGCGTCTCTATCGTTATTAAAAGCTGACACGGGTCCGCCCTGAGCGCACAGAGGAGCTTTGTTTACGTTTGTAACATGGAAGTAGAGCTGAAAGTTTACAACACTGCGCATGTCCAGACTTTTATTCTGAATAAAAGTCCGGTGCATGTAAACACTTTTCATGATCGGATTGTGTCCATGTAAACAGTACATTCGGATTATTTAATCTGAATACATTTCAATCCGATTAAAATATTTTGTGCATGTAAACATAGCTGGTATAATTTTACTTATTAAAGCTCATAATCTTACKACTTGAAACATCACTAGCCCTGAAGCTGATGGTAGACATCGCGGTTGGAATTATCAAAGGTTTTTGACACCTGAGAGACACCGTAGCAACTCCTTTGTGTGGGGACCAGGGAGGATGATTCAACCACTCAACCACTAGATGTTGCTGAAAACAACAGATCCTACACACTGTGCCTTTAAGGGCCAACAAATCAATATGTTGATAACCAAATTGTCCAAAACGCCCTTATTCTCGTCAGATAATCTTCGCTTAAAACTCTGGCTTTTATTCAAGAATTATAAACATTCTTTCAAAAAATGCTGCATCTTTATTGAAGCGGAGTTTGTTGAAAGCTTCATGTTCGTTTAGCTCGCATCATTGCTGTCGAAGCTTCTGAACCTTTGTCTCTGTACTGACAGGAGGAGATCAAACGAGCCAACAAGGGCTGGGCCCTGGACTGCATGGTTCTGTGCAACGAGGTGACCAAATGGACGAAGGACAACATCACCAACCCACCTGCTGAGGGGGGCGTGTACATCTACGGTCTCTACCTGCAGGGAGCTGGCTGGAACCGCCGTCAATGCAAACTTGTCGAGTCCAGACCCAATGTCCACTTCGAGAAGATGCCGGTCATCAGGGTCTTTGCTAAGAATAACGGTGAGTTTTTGTCGGCCAAAAC